GGTTGACCTGGGGGGGGGACGTATCGATACCCTTCAGAAGGGCGGAGCGTAAAATTTTTGAAATTTGTCCAACGTGACGGTTGATCCTGCCCGGGGATCCCGGCTGATGCGCCGTCCACGCCAAATACAGGGCCGTATGCTATCCTCCCCGAAGGGGTTGGGGGACGAAAATCCCTTTAAATTTTCTCTGTCTTCCCAACTGGGATTGCCCTGATAAAGGGCCTACATTTAATGTATGTATGTAGGTAAAGTAAACATGCACTGAAAATGAAGAAACTACATCGTTCAAAACAAATAAATTTAAAGGAAACTTTGGATCACCTAGCTTCGGGGAAGGATAGCATACGGCCCATAGTATCTAGACGGTACATAAGAGCGAGCTATGGTAAGGAGTACCGAGTTCAGAGTTTAGTATCAACTGATAGAAAGTAATGAACATCAATAAACAAGTGGCCGAGATTCCTGCTGCGAAGCCGAAACATTACCTTCACCGGATCAAGGCTCGCTATCAACACCATCGCACTTATGGTTAGTCTAATGAAGTTCTGAATTAATCTGTCTTCAAACAAGGAGTACTGCATGAAAAGGCCGCGTGACAATATGGCAATAAGTATGGCTGCACGCCACAACTATGAGTCCAGATGGAAGTGTAATACGTGACGCATCCTCGATAGGGTTTGATCAACGCAGAATGCTGTATTCTTCTACCTTAAAGTCTATAAACTCTACGTGAGCTCTGGTGGTCTCGTACTGAGCCGTTGGATCCGCAAACCCTGAACCAATCCTATCTATATATGCAGCATTTGAAGCATATCACAAAGGTTTTTTTGGTAATGGAGCGCTTTTTAAAAACCTTCATTTGCATCAGAGAACGCGCAAGGAGTATATAATTGGGAGTGATTTTTTCCGAAGCTCTAACAAGGAAGGTCTTTCAGGACATGGAGCGCTTTTTCGAAATGGTTTTCTGCATGTTGTAGGGGCTCATGCGAGGAACACAGAACCATGATCCATTTTTCCTGAACGCCTCCAGGAATGTCAAAACAGTGGTGAAGAAATGGTCCAGAGTTCGATCCCCGGTGATGACTAATTTTTGCAATATAGTTTGGCGCCCCAGATTGCCGCCAAATGGCGCCATCGTCGAGAATAGATGTCATTGTCGTGTTTTGCGGCAATTTGGAGGCGCCAACATAAATTGCAAAAATTTGTCGTCACGGGGATCGAACTTTGGACCATTTCTTTCCCGCTCT